TGCAGTGCACACATACATACAGATTTGATTGGAATTTAAACAGTCTCAAAGTGCTGCATGTTACAAAATACAGCATATTTACTGCATCTTTTTACCTAAAAACTCAGAATAAAAACTCTATTATTGAAAATTAATCCATTTACCTGAACATAAAGTTTCATGATAATCAGTTTTTATATACACAACTAATATACAATTATTTTTAGTTATTCTGATTTCTTCAAATTCAACTTCATACCGCATATTTACGGTGGTATAAAATCTTGGAGTCAACAGTATTTGGCTCAGAATCGTTACAGGAACGTTTGCTTAGCCAAGCCACATAGTGAAATGAATAAATCTTTCCCGGAGTCATATGTCAGGTAGTCTAATTACAGAATAGTTCATCAACAATGAGTAGATTCAATTACTGAAAGTAAAAATGGCCTCAGACATACAGGTTCATATTTGGAATAAATCCCTTTGGCGGACACAGTTCACATAAATGTGTAAGCTTCATAAAAAGATTATTTCAGCTGTGACTCAGTCTGCTCTAGCTGGTGTCAGAGGCCAGAGCTACACATTTAATTTGAATGAAAGGCTTTGTTTCTAGCACAGGTAATAAATTTAATTCCCCTCCCTTGACCCACTGAAGTCATTTGAGGATTTGAACCAGCATAGAATATGTGAACTCTGCAGCGAGTTTACAATGCATCATGAGGCAAGAACAGTTTGGTTGTTCAGCACTAAAAGGAGATTAAAAGACTAAGAAAACAGACATAAAGTAAGCTGACCTGACAAACAAATCTGCCAATCACCCCAAGTGATGTCTAAATGGGGTAGCCTCAAAGGCCAGACAAACAGAGTGAACATGACCAATATCCTACATGAAAAATGTGATTGGGACGATGACAAGTTCATACAACCCTCATTTGCATTCAATGGAGAGTCCAAGCACAGAGAAGACACAGGCAGTCCATCAGTTCACTGGTGACACACCTGGCAAAAGACAGAATGTGGCTCCCACATAAACAAGAATTCTACTTCATACAGCATTTTCATGACTTCTTGAATGACACCTGTACAAAATATTACTCTACTACTCAACATCTGGCTGTCAAAAAAATTTAGTACTTTTCATAGCAGGGGTAAACATTACCATACCCCACAAGAAAACTGTAACTAGGATAATGACAAAACGATACCACCCCCACTTGCATTCAGTTTTCTGGTGACCCATATGTTACAGCACCCCAAGGAATCTAATGTAATCCATAACTCTGCCATACCCTGTCCCAAGCCTGGGTTGAAAAAGGTACATGGTTGGTAATGAGTCTTGGTGGCCATACTGATGTCGAGTTGGTATGACTGTAAATGCCAAGTAACGGTCACTGATGCAAGATCTGTCAGCTTGGCCAACAAGTCCTACTATAGAAAAGAAAGATCAAGCCTCCAGCGCCTCAAATCTGGAACCCCTCGGCTAAGGGAGATAAGCCCAACAGAAAAATCAGCAGGTCTGTAGGTTTAAATTGCAACCCCATCAACAGACTTAAGGTGCTGTAGACCAATCCATGTGCCTGAATTTTCTTTTTGCAAGATTACAGAATCTGAAGCAATAAGTAACCCGGATGGTCTTTCTACAATGATCTTAAGCTTGAAAAGGACGAGAATTTGATGCTGGAATGTAAGGACAATAATGGAAGGAAGCAGACTACACCAGGTGGTCAGGGAAATCAATAACTATAAGATCGACATTCTGGGCCTGAGTTAAACTCTCTGGAATATTTAGAGAGGGATGATATAACATTTATACAAAGTGATTCAAAAGGTTAGGGCAAAACTAAATGAGCGTATAGGACTCAGAGAGAACAACTTCTGAATAGGAATCCATGTCGTCCGAAGTTAACCTGAGTCAGTCGAGGCCATTGAAGGTAGGGAAGTCTGATAACATACCGCTGAAATAATCGTACTTTGCTATTCTCCTACTAGCTTAATTTTGTTTTTTATTAATGTACAAGAATTACATCAGCAATCTTACAAACCAAATTTACAACAGGTATTCAAAGTGGCATCCTCCACATTCAATGCAGGCATTGCATCGGCGAACAAAACTCTGGCACACCCTTTCAAATATCCCAGGAGTGTCACGGACCATGTCAGATGTAGCAAATATTCTGGCCAAAAGTTGTTCTGGGTCGTCCACCGGTGTCTCGTAAATGAGGCTCTTGACATGCCCCCAAAAGTATTAATCGAGAGGTGTTTAGTCTGGGGAGCGGGCTGGCCATTCAACCGGCCCTCCTATCTATAACTATCCTTCCTCACTACTTTTACCTTCTCTGTTCTTGCAGAAAGAGATAGTTATATCCCAAACTAGAGTCAGTGGGGAACAAGGATCACCTCAGGGTTGACGTGGTAATTTTTATGTATATCAATAAATACAGGAACAACAAATTTAAGAAACCGAATAATTTTACTTTTGAAATTAAAGAAAATCTTATACACTATTTCCCTAAGTGGTACAAAAGTTTGGTTTACTGGCTGAAAGCCCGCTGTCGACTATGTCCACTCGAGTAATGCCATGTGTTTTGACCTGCATACCAGATCCCTTGCTGGCGAGGGAACCTCCACATATGGCTTGCTAGCGGGGGGTGGGGCCCTTCACCCATGATCTTCTGGCCAGTTCAAATTTCAAGTCAAACAGTTACAGGGGTTCTGGACTGGTATATATCCCTATCCAACACCCAGGATATGTGTGATTCAAAATTAAGCTAGTAGGAGAATAGCAAAGTATGATTACTTCAGCAGTATGTTATCAGACTTCCCTACTTTCAATGGCCTCGACTGACTCAGGATAACTTCTGAGGACATGGATTCCTATTTGAAAGTTGTTCCCTTTGAGTCCCTCTATACGCTCCTTCAGTTTGGCCCTAACCTTTTAAATCACCCTGTATATTCTGGAAAGCCAAATGATGATGACCATCAAAATGATGTTGGATTCCTCCTAAGTAAAAGAGCCAAAAGAAGCCTCATGGAGTGGCAACCCGTATCCGGTGGGATAATATATAGAACATTTTTACACCAATCTGAGCAAAACTGCAAGGAAAATGAGAAAACAGGATATCCTGATATGCATGTGAGATTTTAATGCAAACGCTGGCAATAACAATGAGGATATGGAATTGGTAATGGGAAAACAATGTTTAGGGAATGAAAGAAATATCAATGGTGAAATGCTGGTAGGTTTCTGAAGCCAACATTCACTTGTGATCAGAGGAACTTTGTTCTTACACAAAGACTGTCACAAGGTGACATGGGTCTCCTGATGGATGCATACAATATCAGATAGATCATATAAATATCATTCAGAAATGGTGTAAATCGTTGTGCGACATAAGAAACCACAGAGGAGGAGCCATTGATTCACATCACCAACTATTTATCACAGAGATCAAGTTAAAAATAGCAAACATTAAAAGAATGAAATTTTCAGCACCAAGATCATATGATGTAAACAAACTTAAAACCAGATAAATTAAACAGAACTTTGCGACAGAACTTAGAAACACCTTTGAACAACTAGACGATCTAGAAGATGAAAGTGATATACATTAAGAGGAAGTGGGTCAGAAATGGTCCAAAATAAAACAAATATTCAGTAATATAAATGAAAAAGTTCTAGGTCGTAAAGAGAAAAAGTGCAAAGAATGAATTACCGACGAAACCTGAGATAGCATAAAACTTAGAAAGGAAATAAAACAACAAATTAATGGAGAAACTGATGATAATAAGTTAAAAAATCTAAGGGAGAAATATAAAACCTTAAGGAAAAAAATCAAACTTCAAGTAAGGAGAGAGAAAAATAAATGGGCTGATCAACTTGCCTAAAAGGCTGAATAAGCCGCCAAAAATAATTATAGTAGAAAACTATACCACCTGACTAAAAATCTTGGGAACACAACCTTTAGAAAATGTAAACCTATAAGAGATACACAAGGAAAATTGCTCCAAACAGATGCAGAACAGATGAATCGGTGGAAAGAATACTTCAACGAAATACTAACACAAGAACAGAAAACTCTCCTGAAGATGGAACCAGACAAAAAGCACACAGATTCCCACGCTAAAAATAAATACCAACACCCCTAGTCGCTATGAAGTCAACAATGGAATTAAAGCCATGAAGAATAATAAAGCCCCAGGAATTGGCAATATTCCAGCAGAGATCTTAAAAGCCGACTTTAAAATATCAACAAATATGTTACATCCCACCATTGAAGAAATATGGGAACAAGAAAAGGTACCTCAAGAATTGAACCAAGGTTTATTGATCACAATATCAAAAAAGGAAATATCACACTGTGCAAAAACTGGAGAGGCATTACGTTATTACCAATCGCCTCTAAGATCCTAACCTGAATTATTCGCAAGAGAATACAAGGAGCATTAGAATCTAATATCCAACATGAACAAGGGGGCGTGCAGAGATCAAATAAATGTAATACAAATAATAGTTGAACAATGTACTGTATGGCGTTGCAATTTATATATGGCTTTCACGAAGGCCTTTGATAAACTGTTATGTGTGTTTGTGTGTATGTAATCCATACAACATTTTTGTGCAGTCACTTTTCAAACAATGACCGTGTTACTGACCAAAAAGATCCAAACGATGATACACTATTGACTATGGCATCATATTATGCCAAAGAGGAACACAGAAATTTATGACTAGATCTCATGCAAAACTTGACTGAAATTGCTTGATGTTTACCTCATTTCAGTTGTCCCACTGCAGACCAATTGTCATATAGAGACAATACTCGACAAGATGTAATTTCAGCAAATACTGGCCAATTAATTTCTCCAGAGTAAATTCTAATGCTGGTTTCACATGAAAGAAAGTGCAAGTAAAATGAACAGAGCTATGGGCAACTGTATACCAGTGTTTCAAAGAGTACCACAACAATACTAAATGTAACATGTTGAGTAGCTTTCACAGCCACAAAAAAACTTCTTCAAAATTGTATGTAAAAGAAAATTTAATGTGTTTTGTAACAAGTTCCACCGACTACAACGCATCAGTAACAAAATGGAAGAATTCCAGGGCATATGTCTCTCATAAAATGAGGTACTAGGATTCAAAGTCCAGCATATGGGTCACTCATAAGATAAAGGTTAACAACTTTACAACCTAAATAATGCACTAAGCTTAAGAAAGTGAACTTATAATTCTGAAGTTTACAGTTACAATATCCCAATCACAATCCAGAATTTAATAACATTTGACACTGAAGATCTTGATAATTGCCTTCTGGGCTTTAATGCGGTTTAGTCTTCTGGGTGGTTACAAATGCTTCAGAACACAAGGTTGATCCTGAAGACCACAAACAAAGTTCATCTCGTCTTTGGGTGGTTTAATTATTATTCAATTATTATGTAGCATAGTCACCTTCTGTCTTTTCCTTATGTGACACAACTCCTTTATCAATCATGTCTGGAATTTCCACAGCAAGCCAAGGTCCAAGCTATAAATACATCAGTATGGGGTTTATTATTTCTGCAGTTTACATACTGATATATCTGATTCATGTTACTTACAGTTACCTAAAATCATAGCAAACTTAAAACAATTTTTATTTAGATATACAATTATACTGTCCAACAAATCAAAATTTGTTTAAAATAAATTCATCTGTTTTATGATTGTATTGTAGCATATTTAACACACACATTTACAACATGTCTGGAGTAGATGATGTCATGTGGATGCATGCTGAACAGTATACATATACACAGTCACCATATTATAATGTTATTCACACATACTGTGCCCTGCTTTTAACTGTTCCAATTTATCAACAATATAAAAGTGAAAAGGAAACAACTTACTCCTAATGCCATAGCATGAGCTATGCCAAATTTTGGCACATTACGAGCCCATAATGGTTTGAAGTGATCAGTCAAGCAAATCTTTCCACCTCTGTACATTTTTGCAGTCTTCCCATCAAGTTCTGGAAGTGCTATTTCTGGAGCAGTAGTCGGATATGTCACTGGAATCTAAATATGGTAGACCAATCTTAATAACTTCCATACTGTGTACAAGCACCATAAACCAACCAATAGATAAATGTAACTGCAATAAACAATGGCTATAACATCAACAACATTAATAAACCTTAGGAGAAGCAAAAGAGAGGAAAACCTATTACAAATACTGATAGCTTCCCAGTCGAGACTAAAATATGAATTACATTTTCATGTTTTGGCAACAATATTCAAACCCACAAAAAAATATTTAAAAATTCTACACACCACAACGTGTATGACTGATGACAGCAAGTGATGATTTATGAACAGAATATCTACACTCAACACATGTAGTGAACATAACAATAATGTTCCAGCATCTAAAGTAGCATTAGTGATGTGTTCTCGGAAAACATGCACCCATTTCAGCTAATATCTACGAAATATTAAACCAAGATTTGGGTGTATAATTTAATTCAGTGGTATTTTACAGTTTTATGATTATACATTTTATAATGTGAGTTCCACCCAACTGATGATGACCCCATAGGGTTAAAATGCATTTGGCAATGTTAATAGTAAATAAATGCTAGTATAGTGATATAAGTAACTGGTTTGTGGTGATATTGTTATAATAGGGCAAGATTAAATCTTGAATGAGCTTTTATCTTACAATCCAAACTGTTTTCGTATTTTCTAAGTACTTACGTCAAATTCCACGTCAAATTCATATTTTAGTAGGTTATGAATGTACCAGCACTTTCCAAACCATCTGGTTCCTTCTTTATTAGATTCCAATCGAAACCAGTCATTATCAGCACCTTTGTTATTTTTCACATACTATAAAAACAAAAGTTAATCAAAAATCCAGTAACATGTACATGATAAACGAACGTAATATACAGGTACCCCTGTGAATTAACATTGCACATATGTCAAAGACATTACATAACTCTTATTGAACAAATGCTAAAAGCGTTCCTACCTGAATTAAAGCTTGATATTCTTCTTTCAGTCTCTGCACCCACAAGTCTTTGTCACGAGGACCAGCTTTTGTTTTAAGAAGAGGAATACTACTTAACGTTTTCTTCGTCGCCTCGTCAACCATTTCAGTTCACAATTTGACCAGATGCGGAACTCCAATAAAAATGGTTAGCAACGTAGCGCCGTTCGTATTGTGCTGCGCCCTGTGAGGGACTTGTGGGTACACAAAGACAACGTTACAGCAGCCGAATCGGTAAGAAGGTTAAACACTCTTCAGCCTTCACAATTCCTTTCCCACTCCCTCCCATCCTCCTTGAACAAACCAAAACACAGCTCATATAACATGAATAATTTTTAAACCATGATATTGTAAGTAATCTATGTCTCAGAGGAACTTGATCCATCTTTAGGGTAAAACTGAGTGTGTGTACAATAATTTTCACATAATTTCTATCCATTAGTTGAAGGCATGAAAATGAAAGTATCCCAGCAACATTTGAGTTCTTCAAAAATGACAATTATAATAACAATTTCACCATATCAATCCTTAATACCTTACTCAAATGTACTGAGCCATAAAGCAGTCTGATATTCATATGGAATGAGGTCAGTTGATGTTTGAAAATTGTCAACAAAAAAACACATTTTCATTACAGATATAGATAGCCCTAGATTTGCGCTGGTCCAATTTGCCCGATTCAGAATAACGCCGATTTTGAAACCAGAAAGTCAAAAGGTAAAAAAATATATTTTACCATTATTTATAACGTTTTACAATGTATCTCGTATTGATTCCCATACTAAATCGTAATTCTTACATCGCTGATTTTGAATAAAAATTGTAAAAACAGTCATCTCTGCAATTATGTATGTTTCGTTAAAGCGAATTTGCTCCAATGAGATCGATGAATCGGTAAAAGCTGTTCGTGAAATGTAAACTTTTGCATATGCGAGTTTGCTCTTATGCAATTGAGGCCATAGGCCTTATCGTGAAATTTTGAAAGAAAGAAAGAAGAAATCACGATAGTCCACACTACATGCCTTCTTTAATGACATGACGATCCTCAACCAGGGACATCGTCAGAGAACTAATCACGCCATCGCCGATTGTAAGTGCATAAAATATATTTTTTAAATTCCATTTATTTTATTTACGTTATTTCAGAGCTTTAAACGTAATGCCATTGTATTACTCGTCAATGTTTGAGTGCTGGAAACGCATGTCATCGACTTCCCATTGATTTACATTATAAAATCGTTCCAATTTACGCCGATTACGCCGGTTCGTCCAGGAACACATCCCCGGCGTAAATCGAGGGGTACCTGTACTACCAAAGTCCATTTGAATAGGTATATGTGTATATGTCTCTCTGCGTGTGTAACAAATTAGCAGTTACTGGGAATGTTTTTCCTGGCATTTTGTTCTTCCTTAAAGAACCCCGATGAGGAAAACTGATTTCTGACTTCAATACTGCAGATGGTATACAAACATTTTTCATGGTTCCATAAAAGTAGATATGTTAAATGCAAACACATTAAAGTATGGTATGCTGAAAATCCACAAACCTTCTACGAAAGACCATTACATATCTTAAATTTCTCTATAGTGAGCTGTCTCTCGCAGGAGTATAATTTATCCCATTTTCTTCACTGTAACTGTAATAGGTGAACGTTACCAGGAAGTGATATACAACTTCGTTTCCCTTTTGACAATTAAGAAACAGAATTGCTGGTTTCAGCAATAAGGGTCTACGATGCATACAGAAACTTTGGCAATGCAGGTGTTGAGCTAGTTTTTTGGTGGACGCATTATTTCTCGAAAATTCTGGTGCCTTCGATCCCCGGATATGTTGCCACTTGATTTATATCTTTGGAGTTTTTGAGGGATTCCGTGTAAAGAAACTTACTCACATTAGAAGAAGTGAAACAAAATACTGAGCTGTGCATTTCAAACGCTACTGCAGAAACCTGAGGTAAGCATGTATCGCCGTGGACATTTACAACATTTAAAATAACATGGTATTTTAATAATTGATTTCAACGTAATTTGTTTTTGACAAACAATGCATGTTCAGTTGAGTTATCGATTATACTGCATGATTGCTTTATTAGTCTTTAAAGTAACAGAATTTTTGTCCGTATGAAATGAAAATTATTACATGTACTGGTGACTTTAATGTGTCTGACACTCTGTGCACATTACCGTGTCGCCAGTCTTAGCAGTTACATTGTTCCAGCAATATGTTAATCATTTACGTCAAAACAAATTAATATCAAGAACAAACAAAGTTTAAACTATCACAAGAATTTTATCATACTGTGCGTGCAAGACACTGTTTCATGTGCTTTTGGTGATACAATCCCAAGGTTGTCATTATTGTTCCACTCGTAACTTCTAAAGTAAGTTGATTATGAATCGAAGCATCGTTTAAAATTTCGAATGCGGGTTACTTAGGGGAGTGGTTTTTGCTCTACAACTGATGTAATTACTAACGTCTGCGGGAAATTTGTTTCGCTTGAAGTGAGATAAATAGATAACAATGAAGTTTCTTATGTTCACGCTTTGCCTATAAATACTACAGGAAACGATATTTTAAAACTAATTGACGCAGAATTATTTCAAAAGGCCGTAGGTTAGAAAAATTTATTCATATTTTCAAAAATGTCAGGAGTAAAAACGCTTTTATTGTAAACGTTTAAGCTATTATATCACTGCAGTAGCCACTGCAACATTCACTCTTCACAGCGCCAGTCTTAGGATTCGGTGTGTGGTGCAATCGGCCAGGGCGCCAAGCAAAAGGTGGCTCCAAAACGTCTGCGTTATTTCCCGAAAAGTCAATTTTTCGTGTGACAAAGAGCGAAGCAGTATCGCAGGCGCCAAGGCTTGCATCCTCATTTCACTCGACGCCCTTTTTGCAATGCACGTTCAGCACATCGGACAAATAATGTTCCTCCACAATCGTGTTTAGGACGAAGCTTTCTTAGTTTTATTCATGTGGATATGTGTGATTACATTGTCTAATGTGTGATAGAGAATGTCAGAATAGTTGCCGCTTGAAAGGGATTTTGAAGCTATTTGATGTAACGACAATTATCACGTGCACCAATTCCAATTTTTGTAGAGGAGATCGAATAGAAAATATTTTAAACAGTTGGCAAACAAAATCGACAGGGTCCGTCAAAAGACCTTAGGCTACGTTACGGGCTGTGTAATAAGGTGATGAAGTGTAATACACAACATACTCGTTTTTTTTACACTTTTATCAATAATCATCACTTAGATATGAAATTAGAACCTACAGACTGACATTGTATTACTCTAACAAAATATGTCAAGTTCATACACTTCTTCTCTTATCAGAGAACAATAGATCACAAAGTATGAAACGACTGTGTCAGTACAATATCTCTTAGGCGTTCGCAACAGGTTGCAGAAAGAATCTGAAAATTTCGCCATCGTTTGTCTGTCAGCGAATGAACAAGACCTCGTATCCCGATCAATTTACTTTCAAAAGGGTAAAGTTAATTTCATAATAATTTTCATAAATCTGTATACCACTTTGTTTTCATCAAAATCGTTAAGGAGGAAGTTGCGGTTTTCTCGTATAACGTGTTTCATAATTTTCATTCATTTTCATTGGGTTTTCATTAGAGGTCTCTCCCCTGACAACACACTTTATTATGTCGGTGGTGCTAGGCACTGATGTTGGGATCGTGTGATCTCTCACCGACCTCTGTGATCCGCGGGTATAGTTTAAGATAACTTGGTCCAACAGGCGGCCCGCAGGCCGGAATCGGCCTGCGAAAGTATTTGTTAATTTGTTACTAGTTATTTATTATTATTTATTATTGACTGCAAATGGGTTTATACCCGGTGGCAGTGTCCTACAATAACATACAAAACAATGAGACAGAACAGAACAATGAGATACATCAACACAATGAGACAGAACAAAACAATAAACAAAAGGACACAACAAAACAATATGACACCCAAACAATGGGATATATCAACACAATGAGACACAACAAAACAATAAACAAAGGACACAACAAAAACAATAAGACACAATAAACAATGAGATACATCAACACAGAGACAGAACAAAACAATAAACAAAAGGACACAACAAAACAATATGACACCCAAACAATGGGATACATCAACACAATGAGACACAACAAAACAATAAACAAAGGACACAACAAAAACAATAAGACACAATAAACAATGAGATACATCAACACAGAGACAGAACAAAACAATAAACAAAAGGACACAACAAAAACAATATGACACCCAAACAATGGGATACATCAACACAATGAGACACAACAAAACAATAAACAAAGGACACAACAAAAACAATAAGACACAATAAACAATGAGATACATCAACACAGAGACAGAACAAAACAATAAACAAAAGGACACAACAAAAACAATATGACACACAAACAATGGGATACATCAACACAATGAGACACAACAAAACAATAAACAAAGGACACAACAAAAACCATAAGACACAACATACAATGAGATACATCAACACAGAGACAGAACAAAACAATAAAAAAGGACACAACAAAAACAACACATCCCACTCAAAATCAACCAACTCATAAATTACAAAACCATCCAACCTCAAGTACTTAACTTAAAAAAAAGAACTTAATACCACCTAGACATAAGACAATAACTGTAATGTATTACAAACGTCATGAACTGATGCACTCACACAACAATACAATGAGACACAACAATACAACATACCACACTCAAAATAAAACATCTGACACACAATAAAAAAACACACATCCACTAATTAATCACAATACTTAAGAGTGGAATATAAAGTCCGCTCTCAGTACATGAAAATTTTATCCCAAAGAACTACAGCCCTTCATCACTTGGAGACTAAGACACTTCACTTCACTTATCACCATTTATTCCCAACTTAATAACCCTTAGCTTGTAACTACTTTTCTGACCCTCTTTCTAAAGGTGCCTAATTTACAGGGGAAAGACTCTAGCACGCCTGGAGGTAATTGGTTCCAGCTTCTTATGGTCCTATTTACAAAGGAATATTTGCCTACATCCGTTCTTTGTTTCCTAGTCCTAATTTTCCGAGTATGATCGTCCCTGCCCAGGTAGCATGGCTTTAATAATCTATCCTCTATCATTTTCCAAGCCCGGCCCCCCGTGTATGCTTTGAAAAGGGCGCACATTCGGGCTATCAATCTACGCTGTGCCAATGTTTCCCAACCAGATTCGTTCGTGAAATTAGCAAATTTAGCCGCTCTCTTCTGCACCCGATTTAGTGCTCTTACCTGTCCTTCCCTGTAAGGGTCCCAACACACAGCTCCATATTCAAGTATCGGTCTCACTAGCGACGTATAAGCTAAACGTTTCGTATTGTTATTTCCCTTTTTTAGTATACGCATTACGAAATGGAGAGCCTTCCATGCTTTAATTAGTGTATAATTCACATGATCTGCCCAGCTCAGATCACTGCGAATAAGTATTCCTAAGTACTTAAAGCTATTTGCCTCTGGAATTAATTGATCCCCAAAAAAGTAACTCAGCTTATCCTTCACCCTAGCTCTATTGAAGCTGACTGCTTTACTTTTACCTGGATTTATCTTCATTTCATTTTCTACCGCCCATTCCCATAATCTATTCATATCTGTCTGTAACTTATCAATGTCACTACTATCCATTATTTTCCTGTATACTATACAATCATCAGCGAAAAGCCGTATATTTGAATCAATGTTTTTCCAAATATCATTAACATAAGCTAGGAATAGCAAGGGACCTAATACGCTCCCTTGCGGCACTCCTGACGTTACCCTGACTTCATGAGATAGCTGTCCTTCCACTCTTACTCTTTGCGAACGTCCTAAGAGAAATTCCTTTACCCATAACACTACCCTCAAGTCCACACCGGTTGCAGCAATTTTTGTAATCAGCCTATCGTGTGGGACTAAATCGAATGCCTTTGAGAAATCTATTATAACCGCATCAGTCCTGATTCCCTCGTCCAATGAATCAGCAACATCTTGACAAACCGTGACTACTTGACTTTCGCATGAGTACCCTGGTCTAAACCCATGTTGACCCTCATATAACCACTCACTCCTTTCCCAGACTTGCCTTAGATACCCTGCTATAACGTGCTCCATTTGCTTGCAAACCACCGAGGTTAAACTGACCGGTCTATAGTTCCCAACTACCGATCGATCTCCCCCTTTATAAATAGGGACCACTATAGCTTTCTTCCAGTCCCCTGGGATAGAATTGTTGTTCATCGTTACCTCCAGCAGACGCGCAAGGTATGGAATCATTGCTTCCCCACCTAACTTTAAAATTTCCCCGGGGATGCCATCTGGTCCGACGGATTTATTTTTCCCGATTGCTGCTATCCGTTTCCTTATGATATTGATACTAATGGTAAACGTTTTATCTGAATCTGTTGATTGGATTAGCTGGTTATTTAGCGGATTTATCCGTTAGTACAAACCAATTATTTTCGAAGTTGATATTCCGTCACTGGTAAAATAACATTCTGCTCAGTGATCTCACTAAAGCCATTGACTTTGAAAGCATAATATGTATGTTCTACTGGTACAAATTGTTATTGTGTTAGATATAAGCTGTTAAAGTAGCGGAGTTAAAATAATTTCGAGTAATTTTTCAAGGTAAAAATTGTGAGAGATACAAGCTGTTGCAGGAGCAAATTTAAAATAATATATGACTCTACAGTAGTTTGTAAAAAATTAAATAAAATTTATATTTCAGCATATGCAATGGTAATTTATCATTTCTGAATAAGTATTATTAAAAATAACGAAAATACAAGAATAGTGACAGTTGGGGTTTCTTGGCCCTTGGGCCCAACAGGAAATCTATTGTAGCCCAAGCGATAAAAAAAATTGGATCACCCTGGTTTAAGACATAAAATGCTCAATGGCTGCAAGCGAGCTAGGCATACCCATCAAAACTGCAACTTTGCACCTAGGTGTGTGGTTTACAGAAACGCTCCAGCACCAGGAATATTGTCATTCTTAATTAGAAGCTTACGTGCTGAATTCCTTAACCACGCTCACCAAACTGGTCGCGTCATCAAGGCTCAGGAAACTACTCAAAATTAATACGGCACAGAAATAAGGACGAAAAGTGCGGTTGCACCAAGGAGCTTTCTGCGTGATCCAGCTTATCGTAAACTGTCAGTTGTGAAATCTTAACCACCCCGTTCCATTAGGCCTTACGCATTTCTCTCCTCCAGTGGGTTTGTCACCATTCGAGGAGATAGATAGTTTCGAGAACCTTTTAGATAGGACCTGCATAAAGTTCTCACGCTGACTTACACTCACGATCTCCTCCCTCCAAGTAGGGAAATTTCCCACCTTAAGTATTATTAAAACCGTTATCATCCTCACAGTTGAGTATGGCTCTGCGGCCTACAACAATCAGGGAAAACCTGGCATGTTGGAACGCAGATTAAATTCTTGGCAGGATTTGAAGCTGGAATATTTGTTTGGTGAGGACATTTATTTTCGCTTCCTGCAGGAAAGGCTTACTAAATGTCGTGGCCTCCTATCTCTCGCCAACATGATCCATCACCTTGTCGGCGCCAAAAGTATGTCTGAGAGGATGAATACACTAAATGGCGGATAACTTCAACGCGAAACACATGAATCGGAATTATAGGCTGACAAGACACAGCGGTTCGCTGTGGGATCAGCAACCATGGCTCAATATACACACAATGCTACCCCGACGTCTTTGACGTGGTGGTTGCCAATGACATCGTCCTACCTGTGTACCTGACTTTGATCCCGTTTTAATCCAGCAGGAAGATCCAAGGACAAAGGGGATATACGAATAGAAGTGTTATCAGAGGGCTCTCCGGTGGCAGTTCGGTAGCCCTCCGTATTGCTCGGTGTTGCTGTCTGACGACGGGGGTCGGGAGAAGTCGAACATTTGAAGTCGTTACAAAACATTATCATAAAATAATAAGAAAATTAACATTCACTCACTACAACCAATTTTTCCAGGGACTAAAGCCGGTCCACAATAATCTGAATACGTTTAGTTTGTCACGTGCAAGATATTGTATGATTAGAGGGCTTTGCAATATCCTTGTGGCTTCGATTTTAGCAGACATCCCAATATGAAACATATCAGCCAGCACATTAATGACGATATGTGTGGGAAGACCGTTGAGGTTGGAACAACTGGGTCAACTACGCAGAGTTTGCTACGTAAACGGCAAAATTAAGGTTTATTTTATTGCGCTTATGTAATTCTCAAAGCGGTAAAACACCTCTCATCTTCTACGTCATATATTTGTCTTCCTTGGTCAGTCTAGTTGATTCTGTGTTGCATTCGGGGTCTAAACTTCCGGTTACTACTTCGTTGCGTGGTGTTTACACAGCACCACTCCTTAGGCTCCTTAATAAGTGACGGGTGGACTAGCTCCGAGAAAGCGGAAACCCTGGCTGTAAAGCTTGAGGCTCAGTTTCAGCCAGTAAGTAACTCATAGGAAACGGCAGTTATTGAGATAATTAATGAAACGATGTGCACGAATCAACATGTCCTCGCAGGTAAATGAAATTTTACCAGTCCCTCGGAGGTCCTTCAGCCGATCAGGGATATGAAGGTTGGAAATTCTTACAGGTCGAATGGTATTCAGAACAGTGTCTTGAGATATCTTATAGAGTGATTAATGCAGTCCTCCACAAGCCAGCTTAGACAGGATCTCAGGCAACATTCTTCCTAGAGAAGAAGAGAGAGAGAAAAGATAAGAGGGAAAGCAGAAGAGTAGATTTTGCAAAGAGGAAATTGGTGGGGGGAGAAGTGAGAGACACTTCGATTTAGGGGGTAAGAAAGAGCTTCTTACAGTTAGAAGGTCCCCAGGCAATGCCCGCTCGTCCTTCTTGTGAGGATAAAGTAAGAGTGAATAAGTTAGGGCGATAATTGGCAGAAATGACGGAATTTTGAATTGTGTATTAGAAAATACTGAGGATATTAATTTGGAAGTTTAGGACATAATTTAGACGTTTCTACTGAGGGGCTGGGGGTAAATTTTGACGACTTTAAGGGGTGGTAAATTTTGATTAATTTAAATCGGGAGGGCTGCATGAGAAGCATGCAATGGCAACTTGGAACTTAGGAACCATCTCGGCATTTGCTTGAAGACAGAGGAAAACCAAGGAAAACCTGTGTCGAGATGGCCGCTCGCAGGACCTTCCGGATGCGAACTAACTACTAGCCAGCGGTCCGGCAGACAAAAGAGGAATTTATACGACCCCTAGGTCTCCCTATCTTGTGCCATAGGCTTTATTGATAAAGTCAGGTACATGTGGTGCAATAATACAACATAAGATGATGGATGCAGATCATCCGCGTTTCCATGGTCTTCTTCGGCTGTTGGCTTCGTGGTCTGGTCCGCTGGGGCGTCCTCCGATGAACGGCTGGCTAAAACGAGTAAAGTTTTGCCCAAAAAAGACTTTAGTTTGTTTAAATGTGTGTAATTAGTACGGCGTGTGCAGGATCAGTCCCCTTGTAGGGCCCGCGGTCGGTTGTGTTTGTCATAAATGGGGTTATATTGATCTAATTGCCTGATTCCTGACTCATCACTTCTATTTATACAGCTGGCAAGCTCCTTGAGAAGATCCCACTGAGTATGATACCCCTGGAAGTAATCGATCCTAATGGCCTTAGCGTAATCACACTCACATTATAGATTTAAGACACTTTTTACGATTTCCAGCAATGAATTTTCTTCTCAGAAATCGTGTATCTTAGCAAGGGAAGTTGTTTTGTACTTGTGCAGGATTCCGCTTTCAGTTACGTTTTTGCGTGGCTGGTTAGTCGCGCGACGTACTTATCACTCTGATGATGGGGCCAACGATGACCTCCGAAACATCTGTGAACTTCCAACAGACTATCTTCTTTAAAAGAAACAACTTTTTTCTTGGCACCAATATTCAATTGCGCTTTGTTTCTAAGCTACAAGAACCATCCTCTCTATGATTCCGACTCAAAATAAGTATTCTTATTTTTGACCTTTCTAAAATCTACTTATAATCTCAAGGTATAAGTAAGAAAACTTTACTGCAAATCACGGGATTACACAAATACAAACACAATTTTAAATTTTTGTATAAGGTGTATCATCCTCTGCTCTTTCAATGCCACCCTTCTCCAATCTGAGTGAATCTAATGTTTGTTTTGTATTTTCTACACTGCTTTCAAAGAACCTGGCGTATAAGTCCAAGTTCCTTTGCAGTATTTTGTTACACGTTGGTTATTTCGTGGTGGTTAGTTCTTTGTCTCCTACTAAACCCCCAGTCCGGAGAAACTTCCCGTTTTAACTGTCCGAGGCTGTGTTATTTTTACCCCACATGCCCTCTATGTCTGGAAGCATTTTCCCCCCATCTGGAACCTGGTGGCGCAGGTGACAAGGTACACCTTCTTGTGGACTTGCTGGTCGTTGATTTATAAAAGGGTATAATTTATTGAAACTAACATTTTATTAAAACATTTTCATATATTACTCTATTATTTTCTTTAAAACATTTATTAATTTATTTATTATATACTTATTAAATATTTCATCATCAATAGTCTTTCATAAATGTAGTCTATAACCTACGTGCTTTTTAAACAAGCAGGATGATACAGTATAACAGAAAAATGCACGCGGGATGAACAAGACATATCGGCAGACCGCAGAATGAAAGTGCGAAAATTTTACTGTTTTACTCTGTGAATTACATAAATATATTTAGTGTTTTTCCCTATAAACAGATGTAAACAAGACCAATATTATTATTGATTTCAACGGGATGTTTCCTTAGGAACCAATACGCCATTGCTTTAGTGAAGAAGACAATACGAATAATATGTATTGTTATTATGGTTCGTAACAAATGACGTAATTGCAAGCAATTTATTAGAAAGCTATGCTTGAGGGTAAAACTGCCTACGCCACATTTAGTATCAACATTAATTGTAAATGTTTTTGTTCATCCGTATCATAGATAACAATAACATTATCTACAAGGACACAAACGCCGTAATAATAAGTAAAAACATGCTTTAAAAAGGACTATAACCATTTCATGGACATTGTAGCAGCATGCAAGTCTCTTCTACATACCTATCAACTCACTCCGTCTAACAGCTCACTTTCCTGCAGTGAAGACAGCCGTCAGGTAAAAGGACTATTAAGACGATTCGAAAGCTAAATTATATTATACAGGCCTACATGAGACAAATATAGTAAAACGAAGAAGACCACGTAAGTTACTAAAACAATAGCGTAGATATAAGCACCGAATGCATTATTTTCGACCTTTCATTATTATACGATATTGCTTTCAATGTATTGCAGATGGAAATCAATTTCTTCCATTCTTTTGTCTTATATACCTTGTACTTTATTCCTGTGGCAATAATAGTAAAGTTAGTTAAGGACAACAAGCAAGTCTGCTGTCGAAGCTTATCAAGAACAAGGAATTTATCTTCAATCTCTCGTAGGAAAAATTAATTTAACATTTAGAACAGGCATTTGGAGCAGGCATATTTTTAGAACGGCAAAGACATTTTAATTTTGAAATGACGTCAAAACATTAAAATGTTTTATTTCTCGTTACTTTCTCATATGAGATAAAAAAATTGTGTCGAAAAACTTTAAGGAAGAGATCACGTGGATAATCTAAGCGTAGTTGGGGGGTAATATTAAGACAGATACCAAAAATGTTGGACATGAGTGTGTGAACTCGATTGTTGTGGCTGAGGATAGGGTTTTATATGAAAACTGTAGGCTAAATAAACCGTTGGGTTATATAAAGATAGCGACATTCTTACCTAGGTCAGCAACCGTTAGCTTCTTAAAATTTCCGGTCCATCATGAACTGCATTTTGAGGTAGAAGTCACTGCTAAATAGATAAAGTACAGTTTTATATCTCCTGTTAACGATAAAGAATGATTTTCCATTCTTTGTCGTTAAATAGCGCAAATTGAAGTTGTAGATTTATAGGAAATCTGTATTTGTGTCTTGTTTAAATTTCCATTCTTCTTGAGTAAACTGACGAGAGTTTAATTTTTTTGCATAAAATAGGGACAATTTTGGATCATTACGGTCCAAAACTAATTTTCCTAATGAATTCGGTGCAGCTATTCTCTGAAAAATAAATGTAATCAAATCCATTCAACATTTCTGGAGATGATATATTCTACAGAAAGAACTGGCAGTGGAATTATACTTCCATTTGTCCAAGAACTTCATGAGCTCACAAGAGGCTTGCATTGTCAGCCAGTACTTAAACATACTTTGCGCAGAAAGTAAGCTTTCACAACATTTATTAAGTTGAGGCAGTATAAGCGTATGTTAGGCCAAACTCTCAAATATCTGCTTTTATATTTCATTTAAATTTCATTTAAACTGCCTCCGTCATCAGGACGATGAGTATGAAGATTTCTGTCTTCTGGGTTGTTGCGCTGTGTAGTCTGGTCGATGTTAAACAACGTTTCAGAGGTCATACTGCCTCCGTCATCAGGGCGAATGTATTGTATGTTGAGACCTGCCCAACACTATGCGTAAACGCAGACATGGTTACTTCATAACTTAGACAGACTTTCATTCGGAGACACGGATGGAAATAGACCATTCATGGTTTATGCTTCCTGGTGACAGACGATGGAAAATTATTATACTGCCGTAACAGTAACCCGCTCTGAGCCTTCTGCTTTAAAATTTCACCAGCTAAAATTTTTTACGATCACTGAATTTGAGCGTCTGTTACCTTCTCAAAAATGAGTGTTTATCTTTTCTTTGTCCATATGTGGTAAAATTTTATGAACGCTGTTATCTAATTTTATTGCTACCAAATTCATCAGACTCAACCCATAAACATCTTATTTGTATCGTTTGTTGCATGTCGTGCCAAATATTTTGGACGCTAACGTAACATAAAGTAATGGAAACATGCTATTCCAAATTCGTTAAGTATATTTAAACTCGTCCTTGCTTTCATCACGAAGCACTATTAAGTGCACTGTTTTTGTGGCCAATCCGGTTTCCGTAGTGGGAAAACCAGGTCTCTACTCAAGAAACTGTTATTTTGAAAAGTATCACACCTCTTTCCTTTTAACATTTCACTTTTAGTTATTTCTTTTCCCTCTCAATATCTTCATGTTAGCCAAGATTTTTGCGTAGGTACGTGTATTTTGCCCACTTTAACAGAAGAGAAACACATTCAGGTATTGCACGACCTAGTGTTTAAAAATTTCATAAGCGTTTCATTTTATACTGCTGGATAATTCCCCACGCGCATTGTACGACATTACATCATGACGACTTGTGACTAACATTCCCTGAGAGTTGTTACGAGATTAAATATTTGCCTCATATAGCATATTCCATATATTACATTTTTAGTCAAGCTTCAAATGAAGTCAGTTAAGTATTTTCAAACACCAAACAAGTCGTTTTACTGTATCGTTGTATCAGCAGAGTAGGACGACGTGAAAGGCACCGCATTTCAGCCATCGCGAGAAGGCGCACACAAAGAAATAACCCTTATCAGTAATGCTGTTTACTGCTTCCAGCCATAACCTAGGGCGAAGATAATGGCGGCATCCTGTCCTAGGGCTAATCGGCACGGACAGCTGTAAGGAGTTAACAATGTCAAGTTTAAAATAAGCTAGCTGATATATAAGCCATAGCCTTCAAGCCCCATCTGCATCGTATCGTAGCCATCTTTATGTGACGACAGCAACACGCGCGCGTAGGCACCAGTCATTCTGGGAATCTAACGATGAAAATTCAAGATGGTACCTGGCTGTCCTCGGCCTCGCTCGGCTAGACACACGAAATCTATCTGGAAATGGATGACGCTGATATTTATCTCCCGAACGAGACGCAAATTGATAAGGATCGGGTCATAAGCTTCGCAAACAATGTTTGCCATGCTACATAACTTACCGATCGACTCAAGGAGGTAACTCACTAATTCACGTCCGTACTAGCACAGATAGTTACGATGTGTCACTTTAGGGCCTGTAGCATCTGGAGGCCACGGTCATATACAGACCTCGGAAGCTCATGGAGGTCTACCCCTCGCCCACAAGGCCCTTAATCGATAAGTACATTAGTGAGTGTCTGAGAGGAGAATTCGTCTTACTGGTGGTTGACTCCAATAAGAAGCATGCGGACTGGAGTTCTAGGCTGATCACAACTAGGAGTTCGCTCTTGCGTAATTACGCTAACAGTAACTTCCGTTTCAACTATGGGCTTAACTCCCCAAGAACGGTTCTTTACACACACAGTAACCCCGATGTTCTAGACACAGTATTTGTCAATGACTTCATTGTACCACTGCATCTGACCGTTTTGTGCTCAGTTCGATTCACTGCCTTATCCTAACCTTGCGCTAGCATAACAATCCGCCTTTAGATCGTTATTTGTTTGTCGTCAACACTTTCGCTGTCTGTTGAGCTAATGAGCGGCTGTCAGCAATTAATGTTCAGATATGAATACGGTCGTTTAAAAGATAACAGTTATTATGAGTGTGAAGTTGAAACGTTTAGAGTGTGACTGAATATTAGACTGCAAAACTTAGTGGTTGATTTGACATTCAAAATTGTTAAGTCAAGTTTAACATGGGTCTACGTGTCTTTAGTTTTCTGACGGAGAACAGAACAATGATTAAAGAAATATTATTTATTTATGCAATCTTTTTCCTTGTACACATTCTGAAAATATGGTGACAGCAACCACGTTGATCCAGCAAACGCTCAAAATATTTTCACGTTCATTAAGACAGATCTGAGAACTGAAGCACTGGCTCTAATATGCTAAAAAACTCCGGTAACTCATTGGATTAGTTAATGGCAATCAGGAAGTATCAGTTCTGCATTTTTCTCCAAGGGGTTTTCCTCGCGATATCTATGGCATCACATCGAGCGGTACCAGGAAGTTATTTTAATAAACACATCCCAGTTTCTCGTTCTGAAATATCGAGTTGCTGGGAAACTCTCGAAATCTCTTATATAATGTGGTCACTAGTACCGTTGTCTCAATTTATCTGTTGATGGTCTTATTGACGCAGTCGTATCCTCCCGCAAGTCTTTCGTGAAGTACTCCGAGAAATTCCTTCTTCTTTCTACGTGCGAAAACTGTGTGCACTGTTTTAACCCTCCTAGTGGCGATCCATTACGCCGTCTCTCAACACTAGAGAATTTCACTCTCCCCAGAAGCTCCTATAGATGAAGCTGTGGCTAATGATGTCCTTCCGCTCATGGCCCTGCCCAGTCTCCAAGTTCTACAGCATCTGCCCGGCGCAGTTTTAAACCGACTACTCCCTCCTCAGGGCCACACGTCCCAGCCATCACTACTGGGAGCAGTGACGACTCCAAATCTCAGCCTGAATGCTTCTTGTCAACCTACTGGCTGTGGAAATCTGTAAAAATGTCAAATTAGCGCGCCTGCTTTGGTCACGATCGTCAAACGCGAAGTTCTTCTCTCGAAGACGCAGGTCCGAGTGGGCTGTCTGTTTTCTGCGTCGTAGATCATCATTAGACAGGATAAAATGACTACTCTACAAGTTGAACACGTGTCCGTACATTGAATTCAGTTCGTCTTCTAATACAATTGTATTAGATAGTAGCTAGCTCTGTACTGCGTCATTATTCGCTTCCTGTCACCCGTATTTATGACAGTGGTTTCCGAATCACAAGTTTCTTCTATTTGTGTACGCTATAAACTTGCCACCAGACTACTAGTACCGTACGACAGGTTGAATTCACAGCGACTTAATCAGGGCATAAAACAGGCTTTTGTTCCTGTTGAGCTTTTTTCAATTATTTTGATCAGCGGCTGGCAATGTCTGCAAACCCAGCGATAAATTTCCTTTTGCGTTCACACAATGTGATGGGTCTCTTCAACTCGTTATATCTTGGCGGCGATCAACTCAGTACAGTTTCCAAGCTGCACAGAGAGCCCTCGAGTCCTTGGTACTGCATATCGTCTATCAATGCCCTGTCCTTGACTTTTTTCAGCAAGAGAATATTTTGCATCACCTAGTACCTGGTCTAGATTACCGCTTTTTATATTCCGTAGAGGTACCGTCTGTGATGCTCAAACCAATATCTAGCCTATGCACTGTTATGTTTTGAAGGAAGTCTTTCAGTCCGAACTTCAGTAGGCCATTCGCCGTCTACAGGTGACCATTTGCCGCGGTCTCACAACCCTCTCACATAGTCCCATAATAATCACAAAGCTGCGCAGAATGAGCTGAGATAACCGTATCCATTGCTTCAGGACCCATTAGTGGCATTTCTTATTAACCATTAATAACACATTGTGCCTTCAGTCCTTTAACGAATCTCAGACTCGCAGGATATCTAGCTCCAAAATAATTTAGCTCGTAATCTAGATGAAGAACATATAAAGTTACTAAATTTCTGTCCCGGAATCAAAAGGGAGAAAGTTTTCTCACACGCCGTATACAAAAATTACGATCATCTCAATTCTCTTTATGATTCTTCTGGGATCGGAGATCTTCACAGACCCTCCCCCTCCCCCGTTTGATCACTCCACGGTGTTACATCCTGTCCGCGTCTTTCACGATTAGTGTATCAGCGGTCCCCTTATTTGCACGTCCGATATGAACTGCAGGATTGAGGGTGATGGCCGACTTTGTGTTCCACACGTCGCCCATTATTCGTTTCCTGAGTCCTGTTTCATATCTTCACAATTTCCTCCCACTGATGGTTGCTACTGAACCGACGGGTGTTCCCACATCTGCAGTATAACGATCGGTCATTCCAGCGGTGCTCTACTGGTGGCGGTCATGTTTCATGGTGGCTCTCGGTACTTCTCGCTATATCCGGAGTGGAACGGCTGCTGCTTTCGCCGCGTATAGCGTCAGGCCATGTTGAGGATCTCCTTCAATTACCTGTGACCGTTCCCGGTGAGCTGTTGCTTCGGTTCTTCGCCTCTTAACTCGTCAATAATCATGTGGGCGGCCTCTATCATGATGTTCAATCAAATCATCTGTCATTCATACATTATTTTGTATGCGCACATTATCATCTTAGGGAACATTAAGTTCTTAGATATGATTTTGTGGTTACGAACAAGATGCAGCTGTCCCAGAATGTTGTATACACACATTCAATGAATGCAAAAAATACATTTAAATAAACTGAACCAGTTCATATGTTAATATTGGCGCACAGTGAATTAATTAATCTAGTGCAGTTCTTCAAAATGACCACCGTTAGCTCCGTGGTACAGAAAGAAAATGTCTGAAAAGCCGCCACCAAAGTTGTTACTGCGACGCTGCGCAAGACCGTACAATTTCTCGCGGAAACTCTTGAAGTGTTGCTGGCTTTGTGCTGTACAGCGCGTTCTTCAAGTAGCACCACAAGAAAAAGTCAGGTGAAGAGGTGGGGTTAAATATGTTGATCGTGGCGAGGGGAATACTCAACAGATTCTGTGCCTATTATCCATCGGCCGGGAAAACTTGTGATGATGGGCTCTCACATCACACTAGCACATCGCCTTAAAAATGTCTTCGGCGATCATGTAAACTGCTGTAACACTATAGTATAAGTGCCATCTACGTGGTCTACCAGATCGTTGCTTACACAAGATGTTCATAGTATCAAACGCTTTAATTTTATTTCGAATTCTTTTAATTGTTAGTCGTGTTAGGGCCTCCATCTTTGAGCATTCTCAAATTTCTAGTATTATTTCAAGAATGATTTGCGTTGCTGGAAACTTAGTCGACCCTCTGTCATTCTTCTTATCTTAACCACTGCAAAAAATATTGTGGTGCTATCTGTTAAAAATGTATGCCTCTAGGTTCCCTCGTTAACACAGTGTAAGGTTAACGATAACAACTAATATTCCGTATCATATAATGTATGCATTTATTCAGACACGTGATGAGGTGCCAGCTTATCGCCATCAGTAGTAAAATATAGGAACAATAACACTAGACGCTACTTTTACAAGCCGGTGCTTCTAATTTTGACTTCTTTTAAATCTTCATCTTTAACACCGTTATTTCCATTACAAAAATACACTGCCGTCTCATCTGTATTTCCTATAGGACAAGGTTGTACAATTTCGATCATTTCTTACTGTTTGGGCCCTCGTGTTAAAAAAAACTATTTTCTAAACAAATTTTGTTATATAAAATATAAAGTATTACACACAGGTATTATGTATAAAAAAATTTAAAAACAAAAATGTGTTCGAGAGAAGTTATAAATATGAAAGAAATTGGTCGAAACTGTGCTGCAAGTAGTACAATCTACAGTTTCGATTATATACATTTTCCACCAGCACATGATTCATGGCAATAAGTTTTGCAGACTTGGCAGCAAATTAAGTCTCCTTCATTGATTGATTTACCGGAATAGTAATTCGGTAAACAAAATTTACAAATGTATTCATGTTCTTGGAAACACGTAAGATTGACTACGCCTTCTTCCTTGCCGTACGTTTTGGTTCGACGGAAGTTGAGTAAATTGTCTTTGTTATGGAATTTTGTGTAATGCCCTCTTTTTCTGGGACGACTTCTTGCACGATGAAGAGAAAGTCCTACTCATTATTTTTATCTGAGAGGACATGTCGGTAAAGTAATTGTTTTTAAACAAGCATTGGCTCTAACATATTTTCAGTCGAAATAAAGTGTGCTGAGAACTCTGTTCTCTCGCGCTCTCTCTCTCTCTCTCTCTGGACTATGCATGATCTCTCGAAATATTACTTCCTGCGTTTGTTTTGAGCAGCGAGATTCAGTTCTTTTGTTTAACGGTGCTTAATGGAACGATGTATTATTTTTAGTCGTATTACAGTCCTGCTCAATTCCATGCACTTAACACAATACTCGGAGCATACCTTTTTCCCGGAATGACGTCTTTTTATAGGGCATTATTTCTTAACGCACGAAACCTTTAAGCTTTAACCACATTTCTACAAATATTTATAATAATAAAATTCAGAATTTGCATTATTTGATCGAAGTAGTACCTATATCGAAATTATACCACCTTACACTATGCGTAAAGGCAGATATTTGTTGTTTTTTAAATTTTATTACGTATCGCTGGAAGTTTAGTTTTGGAAAAAAGCTGGAATTTTTGGCATATGAATGTTTGATGCCTGAGTGACACTCCTTTATGGCGGATGAATCTGTCGCTCCAAACTCGCCCAGTTTTAAATTTTGCTATTCCCAGTGATTTGGTAGTTTCTCCTGTGAAAGTCTTACACGAAAATATGACAGCACGATCATTCCTCCAACGACGAACATTTCCTTCTATTGTAAAATTAGGTCCTGCTGCTCTACTGTCGAGCTCTTCTGCGCATAATAACTTTTGATTATAATGCCTTGTCATAATTAAACAGCTTGGAAGACGATGTAATGTGGTAATTAACTATGGCATTTGGCGTTTGAAATTTCTTGTAAAAATTAAAATATATCCACGTAAACAACATCGAAATCTGGGAAAAAAATAATCGAATGTTCAAGAATTCCAAACCTTCTTCCGAGTGTTGTATATAAGAAAGAAGCGGCAATGAGCACAGGAGTAAACATTAACTCTTATCGATCTCTCTTTATCGAAAAATATTCGTTAATAATAAATCGACCATTTGGTATTTTAAGCCTCCAATCACCCACCAGATTCAGAGTGGAGCAGCGTTCTCTCGTTATTTTCATTTAAGTAGTATTCTGGCAGCCCCAGGGTGGAAACAAAAGTAAGTGAGCTATACCATTCAGTTAGGGATGCTATTCAGTAAACAGGGATCACTGGTCGACTGTGCGCCGTACAGACGTTCTTAAAAAGTAACGACTCTGTGATAGCAACGCAACAAATATTCATTCAGACGGCATTCTAACGTTCTGAGACATGGAAAGGTTCCCGATCATACCATCAAAAATTGGGCTCAGAAGTTTCGAACCACAGTTTCTGTAACAAATAATAAGCCTGGAGGTAGTGTAAGAACTATCCGAATACAGCAAAAAGATAAAGATATGACCCACTATCGGTTGCAGCCCCAAGTGATCATCATGCATACAGTCTGTTGCCCTCAACATATCGAGCAAATCGCTTCGGTGGATTCTGCATTCGAACTTACAGCACTGTGACATCTGACCGATATGTGCATAAGATGAATGAGTTTTTCTTTTAAAAGTTACGCAGTCGTGACATAACCTTGTCATTTCGTAGTCCTAACAAGATGAAACGACAGCACATACTGCTTGTGCAGGCGATGTACACTTTGATGATTGTGTTTGAACACCCATTAATTTCTTGGCTTGTGATTTGTCTTTATGGGGCTACTTGAAGTGCTATGTGCTTTAGACACGTCCGGCAGACTTGAATAATCTCAAAGAGAGTTACTGAAGAAACTAATGCCATATAACCGTCCATGATACTGAGCGTAATGGAAGGTGTTATGAATTAGTGCATCAAAATTGATGGGCATCTGTCTGATGTTATTTTTAAGAATAAACTTTGTTTCAATGCTCCTTAATATAAGAAACCACGTGTCTTTAGATTTACATAAAGTTTAATGAATGTAAGAAAAATGTGGTTGACTAGTGTCTATAAGAATGTTGAGTGAACTCTGGCCCTCACAGTAAAATTGACACTCGTAACGACATTCCTAACAACGGAAATTCACAGAAATAATTATGGAATATTAATTTGTTATTTTCGTGTTTGCTCCCCCATGACTATTGTTATTGACATGAAGATTTTCCATGTGCTTTAGTCATACAATATAATTTTTCGATATCGATTCTTAGATGCCATCAAATATAACACGCACCCGATTTCAGAAAAATTAAGATGTCAAATAAGTGCGTCTTAGAACTGGGGAAATATGGTAATTTATTTTATAAACAATTTTTTTAAATTTTGTACTTTCAGGCAGATTTTCAACGATAACGCTGCAATAAATTACGTTACTGTTCAATACAAGAAAGATTCATTCTCTTCATTGACAACAATAATAATACATAGAGAAGCAATTTATAATTTCTGGATGAAAGGAGCCGAGCCCTTCTTGATTATTCCACATTTGCATACTGGCTCTTAGTAGGTTAAAGAACAGCATCATTCATCGCCCTGATGACGGAGGCAGTATGACCTCTGAAACGTTGGTAAACATCGACCAAACTACACAGCGCAACAACCCAGAAGACAGAAATCTTCACCATACATTTCATTACAACTCTACTTTTATACCAAGTATTTCAAAGAAGACCAGCACAAGGGACTTTGCAGGTTGTGCGGGATTTCATAGCAAAAAATTTGAAGGCACTGATATTCAGTGGATATTCTCCAGCTATATTAATGCACAAAACAGTAAATGCTTGTACTAATAAATGCAAAACTGGAATTTTCTTCAATATTTATATTATTATTATTATTATTATTATATTTATTTATTTATTCATTTTACTAGTTTATTTATGAAGTTGTATATTGACTGATTCATTAATTTTTTGATACTATAATACCTTCTCGACGTTGCGTGTCAGAAAGTAAAAATTATTATAGGTTAATGGTAACAGTGTCTAAACATCATCGAAAACCATATCTTTCCTAACCTTGCAGAATACCAGTCAAGTTAAGACAATATACTTTTCAGGACTGTGCATACAACGCAAAATGGAAATCAATGCACAAGAGTCCCTGATGTCAGAATTTGACATGCCATCTGTAATGCAAGTGAAACGTGAATCCAAATCACGTCCCATTTTTGCTCAGGTACTTTTCCTTTAAATAACATAATACGTTAATATTAATCATTTTGTTGGGTCTGTAAGGGATACTATGTTTGTGTTAATGAAGGTAGTAAGTATAGTATAACAGACAGGGGCAAGTTCTGTCCACTGTCCACTGAATCACATAAATTATATTTTTGGATAATAAGACATTAGTTACGGAGCTTGAGTTTGTCTCAGACAGGGGTGTAGATATTTTTTGAGTGATTATCAATGGGATGCTACACAAATGTACTAAGAAAAAATGTAAAGTGAAATAACTAGATTATGAATATGTCTAATCATAAAGACATTTTTCAAAACACTGTGGCAGGAAACTCTCTCCCAAACCACGGCTAAAAAATAAATATTTTTCTTAGAAATTAATATGACAATTTTCATTTACGTTCTCTCACATACATAATGAAATCAGGACGATGTAATGAAGTGGAAGATCACAGAAAGTCATTTGCATTTAAGTCTGCAAGTTTTAATTCATGTGCATTTTGACTTCATTCTTCATAGTTGAAAATTTGCCTCAGAGATATGCTCTTTCAAAGAAACAGCGGTCACGGAGTAGAACAGGGTATCGGCTTTTTTTCGTCTACAATGCGTTTCGATTTATCGGGATCGGGTGAAATACCATTAACAAACAACACAGGGCCATGTCATGTCAGTCAGCGCCATTTTGTGGTTACTCTTTCTGAAATAATCACCCATGCTGGATTTTGTTCCTACATTTTACGAATTTTCCCCAACTTCCAGTGAAGGTAAGACCTATTCATTATTCATACCCACTTTGTTACAAGGTGTTTTCTTGAAAGTCTTAAACACAATATTTTTATTTATTTTCATTATGTCATTTTTGGTGGGGATGGGGTAGGGCAGAATAGGGTACCCAGTTTTGCCCCGAGTAAAAGCAGAGAAGATGATCAAGATGACGAGTGCCAGTATTTTGGCGATGTCTATTCGCAGTCTATTGAAGGGTGGATCGTTTATTCGTCTTGCTTGAAATGGCACATAACTCATGTTCAGGTGTTGATAGTGACTATGATGAAGAGGTGCACATGTATTAGGCCTAAGAAGATTTCAAATGTGTAAAGTTTCGATATTTTACATTGTACACTTTTATCATTTTTATATCCTACGTCATAATTATTAGATAATCTGTGTCTTCTTACAACTTTTTCAAACATGTATCAACCATACCCCGTCTTGCCTCGGGTACGGGGCAAAATGGGGCAAGTTACATTTCTGTAAAGAAATTAATATTTTTAAAAACTGTAACTCTTAGAACTAAACTAATAACTCATTTTAAATTTCAAATAGACAATAAATCCACATTAGTTTCCTCCATGTGTTTGTCTTTGTTATTGTCCCTTCCACATGCCTCCAAAGATTAAGTTCCCTGCCCTGGGCTCTCCTACCTATTTCTGTCAAAAATTTCCAGAAATTTTTCTCCTTCGTGATTGCAAAGGTCAGGACATAATTATGACACCAACAAGAACCACAAATTTCCCTTAAATTTGATAATGAGGAGTTTTGTTGATACATTACAATTTTAGTAGATGTTGGTTAATAACAATAACAAGTACGTTACACAAGGTCCTGACTCAAACAGGTCAAGAATTGCCTGGTCATTCGCAAAGGTCAAAGGTCAAATACTGTTGACTACTAGAATTATTGCATTTCTATATATTCCTTAAGTTTTTTCAGGGTTTTTCTTCTGACACACTTCAGCCCTCTTATGTATCGTCTTTAGATGACTGAATATTTATAAGAAATCATATCAATCCAAAAAAATTATAGATTTTCTTGTATTCCAACTGTAATTAAAACAGTCACATTTTTCTACACATTCACATGGGTACTAATCTACACATGAAGAAGGTTTTAATATTCACCTGATGTACGTCCAGAAAAGAATTGAAACATATTGTGAAGAATACAACTGAGCCTTGCAAAGAATACTTAATCTTAATTAACTGATTTAAATCAACATGGGATGAGTCATTTAAAATTATACCGTGTGCTTCCAGGCAATAACTGCAACTTTGGTGTACTTGACTGCTATCTGTAATGGTTTAAGTAGTGGTTATTCAGCCATCCTCCTTCCTCAGCTTCGAGCAAACAACAGTGGCTTTGAATTGGATGAAGATATTGAGTCATGGATCGGTAAGTACAGGAAACTTGTCTAAATACACAAATTGAAATGTAATATAAATATTTTATTTGTTATGGAATTCGGAGCAGGATAAACTGTACTATTGGATCTTACAAGACAGTCTGTAATATTTTGTTTTCTTATCTGCATTTGAAGACATTAAAAATTACAAAAACATCATTTTGCCTGTTTTTTCATGAAAACTTGATCTCTCACTCTGAGAGAATAGCAGATATTAAGGGGTTCGTGACACTGGGTAGGTCAGAAACCGCCTTTACATGTTAACCATCTAACCTAACCTAACCTACTTAGTGAAACCCATTTTATCATACCTTGACCGCCGAACGTTCCAAACGTGCTTCCAGTCAACCACAACCATATATCTCGGCATGCGGGCTGCAGTAGACAGGGTAGACTCGTCTTCCCTAAGCGGATGACACGACTCTCGTAGCCTCGTCTCGCAGTCCATCGCTTCTGGATAGTTATTTGGAGGGTACCTCGGTAGACAGGAATTCTAGCTACGGCCTTGGACGATACCAATTAACGTCTCGAAGAGCACCGCGAGAAGCATCTAAAAGCCTGTGGAGAGCCAATACAGTGAATCGAAACAGCACGGTAACTTCGTGGGAACCTTCTCATCTGGTCGCCGCAAGTCAGGCAGGTGAGACAGAAGGCTGTTAAAAAAATTGGGTGTGGCTGGCTTCCTCATCCATGGGAAAAGCTGTCTGTCCGTCAGAAACGGTGAGCTGCTATACAGAGAACGCACCCATAATGTGGTGGATAATGCATGCCCTATCTGGAGGTCCAGTGACGTCCGGAAGCTGCAAGTGGTATACTTCAAGGATCATCGCATTGTAACCGTCGGACCTTGGTACGTTAACAGGCAGTTCATTGTCAAGTGGCATCAAAGCATGTGGACTGTGAAATGGTCAGTACGTGTGTGCAGACTGAATGGCAGGAGTGAGATTTTACCGAAAGACGCCAGGAGACAAGGAGGATAGTATTACGACGTAGAAGTAAACATTCACTTTGAGATAATCGGAAATGTAATTTGTGAAGCGAGAGATATTAATCCAGGAAATTATCAATTGTCATGGTATGAAATAAATCTTAAATTACTTACTTTGTTTTCAAACAAAAATGTCACTGTTGAATCATCGATTACACTACAATACGTTCAAATTATCGATATGTCATCTCGCAAATATACTTGATCTTCAGCAATATACGAACAAGAAAGATGCATTCAGAGTTAAGAAGAAGTCCTTGAATTTATCTGTGTACACAAGTCTGCCCTCATATTCAGTTTATTATTATTATTTGGTGTTCTGTCTGACGACAGGTCCATATGAACAGGATCCTTCCATCCTTTTCTCGGACTGGGACCTGTTCATATACGTTCTTGGCAGATGATCCGGAAGTGGTTTGCCATTGCCTTCTTCTGTGTGTTAATGGAGTAATTGTTGGAATGCCACGGAGAAATCGGGGAAGCCCCCGGAGGAAAACTCCGTGTTGCCAAGATCACGGCCTTGCCCAACACAAGTTATAAATTCGGGCACCGCCGGGAATCGAACCCGAGACCCCAGGATCACAAGGCCAGCGTTCTAACCGTTACAACCGTGGCGTCTCATATTCAGTAGACTGTAATAAGTTGTTATTAATATGTATCACCCATATCCTGACCTGAAGACCTGTGTCTCTTTGCAGTAAGCATCTATATTGGTGCTACACCAGTGGGTTGTCTTCTAAGCGGAATCATGATGGATGTGTGGGGCAGACGGCCCACTGTTCAGATTGCTGTTTCCTTTGTGTGTGTTGGCTGGATACTGATAGCCACTTCAAGTACATACCCACTTATGCTCGTTGGGAGAGCACTGGGTGGCTTTGGGAAGGGTGCAACCACTCCTGCTATCACTGTAAGTTAAAATATATCTCTTCTCTGCCATATTTGATTCTCTGATCCAACAAAATGCAATGATAAGTTAGTTTTCGAATTACGTAGCTTACATTCTTGTACATTTTGAAGCCAATTTTTCCTATAAAATTGAAATCTAGCACACCTCACTTCAAAAACAATACATATAATGTATATTCAGAAGTTTGTAGTGTTTTTACAACATACGTTTGTTTCAATTGCCAGTAGTCAGTACACACGCTGTGATTCGCACGTTTTCCTATTTATTTATCAGTATCTAGTATCTATATGAAAATTACTAGCAGACACCAGTAATTCGTAACATTTTGAATAATTATTACAAACACGGGCGACATTCGCAAAAAATTATAATTTATGTACCAAGGTATTGTGCTTAAAAATGTCATGCCATAAAGTTTGTATGATTTAGTTAAAGAACCAGTTTCATGTTAATTTTCTTGTTCAGGCATTGTTGGTAACAAGCAAGCAATAAGCAACAATTTTTAAAGTTTTCATCCTTTGGGAAACGTCATTACTTTGACTATTTTTGTACATGTTTTTCCATGCTGATGTGTAAAGACAGGAAAAAGTGAATGGATTTATCCTCATCCAAGGCATTCAGTCATATGGCAGTACTCATTTTCTCAGAGTTGATTTTGTCTGGAACAGACAAAGGTTTTGAAGAAGAAAAATACGTTTTTTATATAATATGCAGTACGAGAATCCTTGTTTTACGCTCGTATGAAAATTTTAGTTCAATTTAAAACATGTTTCAGTCATTTGACAAGATATTTGTTGCAAGTAATTATAAAATTGTCCTTATTTATACGTGTTGATTATGAAGCCTGCGGACATTTTTGTATGCATGAGAAAATCACTAAAAAGTTTGAGCTGTGTGCGAGTAAGTATATGTGCATGCGACGTCTCTATACATTAGCCAAGCATTTATTTGGAGTCCATTTTAGTTCTCCGTCATGATTGTCGACAAAATGTAGGACAAAATATATTGTTTCATGTTTGTCATGCATTTTTCTGCGTTATATATAAAAATGAAATTGATTTTTTTTCGGGAACTCATATCGCTTGCTCACCCCCTCCCCCGAAGCTACTCCAACAAACTAAATGCCCCGCCTCCTGGGAGCCGCTGAGCTCAACGTATGTAATTAATTACTGAATATTGAGTTTGCTGGGTTCTCTGTTGTGAGCATATTTTTCTCTTTAGTATTTTTATAATTATTTTTATTTTGGAAAGAGTACTTTAAAAAAAGAGAACGTTTGAAATGAATGTCATAAGTAAAGAAGGAAGCACCAAAAAGCACAGCAGATAAAAGGAATACCAAAATCAGTTATTTTACTGTTATAAATATAACAATATAATAATATAACAAATAATCGGCCAATATAACCACACAGAGTGATAATGTAGCATGTTCATGCCTGTTTGAAAATTAGCAAGAATACTGTGAGGTGAAGACGAAGACGAATTTTGGAAAAAAAAATTAAAAACTTAAATTTACCAGGTAAGAAACTGTTTTAATAAATTCTTAATAGATATTGCTTTAGTAAATTGTAATACAGATAAACATGCCACAGAAATAAATTAATATATAATTATGAAAGGTAATTTTAAACGAAGGTAAGTGTGCCTTCAAGCGTTTAGTTTTGTGTACACCTGGGAAGAAAATGACTGAAGATGGATGTGGATGACTTCTGTGAGGGCATAATCAGTCAGCTGATTTATAGCAAACATGCTACAGGTAAAATGATTTGAATGATATAAAATTATAAGTATAATATCGAAAATGTGCTTAATTGATAATATTTTATTGGTAGTGAAAGATAATTTTAAGTTCACAGTGATATTCTGAATAGATAGTTATTACGCATCGTAATACTTTCTCCCATAGAATGTGTCCCTTTAATGTTCTTTATGATACTGCATACATCACATATAAACTGTCCGGCCCATTTTGAAACTCCTGCACACTCACATTGTGCACACAAGTAGACTTCTTGAACCCCTATATGAGTAGAAATGTTTGAATTTTTTTAAATTCAAGTTGATATTTCTGCCATTCCTTTTTGCGGGTTATAGGCATATTAGTGAAAGTAATGAAGTCAAAAGATGAAGAATTGTTGTAAAAGTTACACAAAAGACTTATGAAACGAGAAAGAATTAACGTATAACTATGTATGAAAAGTATAGTGTTTACGAACTAGATACGTGGTATGCCTTCCACATTTAGTAATATTTATTTTATTTAAAATAAAAAAACAATTTAACTTCAGGTTAATGAAATACCGCTTGTAAACCAAAATAATAACATTAATAATAAAAGTAAAATATATTAACGTTAATGAAAGATTCTCGGGTTACAACCCGCGTCAGGTGGCTTGTAACCCGAGAATCTTTCATCAACTTCCTGTCGTCACGAAAACTTCACTTTATATATTAAAGTTACTTTGTTTTACATCTTCAGCCATGCATCCCCTCTCTCAAATTCTGACAGAAGAATAAACCCTGTGTGTTTGAGTAGGATTTGAGGTCTTCACGGCGGTGAATATAAAGAAGACTGTCTTGTGGTCTGCCATGTAGTCTGGTACAAGTTTACCAACGTTTCCTTGATGCCACCGTCATCAGGGCAATAAGTGCGTTTTAATTTTCCACAGGCGTATGAATACAGAAAGTATTTTGAAAACAGAATCAGTAACGTTTTAATGATGAAGTAATGAAACGTCATTAACTGCAATACGTTATTTCCTCTTATAAATAGAGTCCCTTTGTGGAATACATAGAGATGTAGACTACAAAAGTGCAAACGCACAGAAAATAACAAGAAAAGGAAATTCTGGTTATGATGATGAGCCCAAAGCTGATAAAACTTTCTCCAAGAGATAATTTCGGGTCACATCATTCGTCCCTATTATGGATGAGCTAGAAATTAATTTCAATAGACGTTCGATCATATACGAACATTTTGCTAATACCTTTTTGCTTTTAGTAGATTCGGATGCCTCTGAAGAACAGTTGAGTACAACTACGACACTCGTAATAAAGACTGCCATGAAGATATTCACCTCGCCGGTTAGACAAAGCACTTCCATTTTTATATTGCTGATAATTACAGAGTTTCAGCCAGAGCACATTTAAACCATCAGGTCCTTTATCAAATCATAATCAAAGATTGAATGCAACTATTTTTGAGTCTTGTGGTTAAAACATATGAATGACCTGAGGACAACAATGTCGCAAGAAAAGCTCTCTGCGTTAAGCACCATGCCCATCAAAAGTGAAGAAATTTGTAGCTTATCTTCTGAAGATATCATCAATGACTTTGCTATTAAAAAATCACCAAATATGTATTTTTTAATATTTCAATTAATATGTTATGCAAATATGTTATAACAGCCTTTTATATTTATTATTTTCATTAAAGAATAAAGTTTTCACCACATCGGTTTCATGTTTATTTTTTAATGTTCATCCGTTCAGTCAGAACACAAATTTTTTATTTACATTTTTACGTGGCTCACTTTCCTGACATAGCGTAGAGCCTCAGGTGGTTGAAGACCGACCTTGAATAAATCCATCTTGCGTTTATAAACATAGAACTCATTGAATATCCACTATGCCATATGTTATAAAGAAATTGGTCTGGCAGAGAGAACCACCACAAACTTTCATCTAAAATTAATATCATATGTTACCAAATGTCATGGTTTGAATATTTTACACTTCTGCTTCATGTTTAGGAATTCTCAGGTTAAAATCTCAGTCAAAAAAAAAACGGATTTCCTGGAAAATGACAGGAATTTAACTTCAATTATTCCTGGCCTCTTCTTTCCATCAATTAATCCATCTGGGATACTGAGATCATCATAAAATAAACCGCAAATAAACAAACACCGATATGTTTAAAAAATAAACTGAAATAAATAAGAAACATGGGACATTATAGTCATCAGAAGTTGTTTGGTTATGGTCTTCTGTTTCATGGTGTTGTGTAGTTTTGTAGCTAATGATTACAATTTAAAATGAATGTGTTGCCTCAATCTCCAGGATAAAATTTGGAGATATATTCTTCCAAAACATTGGTAACCAGCTACATCATAAACCAGAAGGTCATGGGTGTCTAATGTGTTATGTGTTGCAGTTCCATTTGGAAGAGATGGCAGACCCTAGACTAAGAGGCACACTATCTGCTTGTATCCTCCTGATGTATTCCATAGGCATTATGTTAATTTCTCTGATTGGCACCAATATGAGTTGGAAAATAGCAGCAGGACTTGCAGCTGTCATTGGTTTTGGGGATCTTGTGGGCTACAGTCTTCTGCATGAGAGCCCAGTGTGGCTGGTCAGAAACAATCATATCAACAAGGCTAATCAGGTGTTCAGCTGGTTATGGGGATCCGGGCATCCTGCAGAGGTAAGACAAATACTCATTCCATATTTATATCAAATGGAGGATGAAATGTAGGATCAAATGGAGGATGAAATGTAGGTAATATATACTAGGGAGCTGTGAATGATATATCAGTTAACTGATATTGTCCTTCAAAGGGCATGTTGTTTAATATGTTGTAATGACAGTATTATCTGTATGAAATTGCACAATTAGGATACAGTATGAAAATTCAGAAATGAAATTTGGAGAAATATATATGAGGTTTCTTTCCAGGTGGAGAGAGATCTACAGAAACTTTTAAAAAGAATAAAGGATGAGAACACTGAACTTGCCAAACAAATTAATACAAATGTGGCCCCTTATCAGAAATGGAAACAGTATTTCAAACCTCAAATATACAAGCCATTCATTATCGTCCATGTTTTCAACATCATTCAAATTATCTGTGGAACTAATCTCTTCATTTTCTATGCTGTGGATATCATCTCAGGTCTGAACAGTGATGGGAGTGTGGATATCAACTTAACTACCATCTTAACATCAATTGTAAGAGTTGTATTCATGGTTGTCTCTTGTATAATATTAGTATGGATTGGACGTCGAACAGTATGCATTTCCTCAGGTCTTGGTTCAGGTATTGCTGCAATACTAATTGGTACAGTTGTTCGTATGCAGAACGTTCAAGCATGGATAATAGTTAGTTTGGTACTCATATATGTGGCCTTCAATACATATGGATATTTTGTACTACCACCATCGATGATAGGAGAAATACTGCCATCTAAGATTAGGTGTGTTGCTGGGGCTTACATTTTTACTATGAATGACATTGGAATGTTTTGTGCAAGTAAAGCCTTTCCTTCAATTCTTAATGCAACTGGTATCTATGGACTTTTTTGGATATTTGGTGTGTCTTCATTAGCGTGTTCACTGTTTTTATACCTAATGTTACCTGAAACAAAAGGACGCTCTCTTGTGCAAATAGAAGAGTATTTCCTGAAACCAAATGTTTTATGGCTGACGAGCAATAAAGCAATGTAACTTTCACATTTGAAATGCTGATGCAATGCACTAACCAAGATCTAAGAGTTGATATTTTAATACCAGTGAGGTTTTTATGTATCACATTTGAGGATTTGGACTTGATTCATATGGCTCTAGATAGGATCCTGTGGCATGATTATGTAAACATGGTATCATCCTCTGGGTTTCATAATAGGCACAGAATATCTCAGCTAGCTGAGTGACCATTGCCCTTTCAAGAAAAACTCTGTTCCATGAACCTAGTTGTGTCATGCACAAAATGGACACATATTTTTACATCAGAATTAATTACTGTATAACTTTCTTGTGAGATCAACGGGGATAAAGATTTTCTTGCATAATAAAGTGCACTAACTTTTATTTTGCAAGGAACTGATACAGCCCTTGGATGCCACATGCTTTTCTTCTGTAAGGAGAAGCATTTCTCAGACACTTAATATCATCTCAGTTCAACAAATGTCAGAAAAGTCAGTGGCACTCTCTGTCACCAAATTCTACTTAACTTTTCATGAAAGTTATAGCACCCTCAGGGTTAGCATGTGTGACTTATGAGTATTTTGTGAATAACCTTTGAAAAACACCTATATCCTGATAAGAGTGTGTTGAGTATGTAATTTTTCCCATGTTGAGATTCCATAAATCAAAACTGTTTACTTGTATCTACATGCTCTTACCCTAAAACTGTATACATGTAAGGGTAATCTTAGGACACATTTGTCTTATTGCTGCTGAGAGCCAATTTTAAGTTTTATTTTAGATAAAAACTTGTGGTCTGTGTAAGCTAGCTATTGAGATGTAATGTATCTCAGGACTGTTAACAGAGTAAATCTATCAAACAGTGCACAACATTCCATGTAATTATCACTGTCACTGTCAGAAATTACAGTGCCACCAATAAATCTAAAATCCCAGAAAGAATGTAAACTGCGAGTGGAGATTTCACTCCACTTCACTTTTGGGAAGTCTCTTCTTACACCACAAAGCCTCTCTCTCCCCTACTGACTGTCACGCTGCAGTTACACAACTTTCAAACTTAACGACAAAACCAAAAACAACAATGTTGTTCAGAGTGTGGATTTAAATTTTATTCTTTCAGTGATATCACTTATGATGAGAAGAAGGCAAATGGGAATACATACTACATCCATCCTAAATAAGATCTACTGTCAGTACAACCTGGTAATTCAGAGTACCATATCCTTACTTCTGATGGAAGGGGCAGAGCCTGAGTGAGTGTACTGCTAAAACAAACACAGTACTCTGAGTCCCTGTGTAGAACAATTCACAGGATCTACGAATGTCTGAAGATTTTCTATGATACCATTCATAACTTAGATACAATTTCAAAATTTATTCAACAGTAGTGACTTTTTTCATTTGGATGGATACACACACATGAGGACAATTGACATTTTAATGGACTTACCTCCTGTTCATCCTTCATAACTTGATTTGTAATTGGAATAGGATGTTCCTCAATTTTTATATCTGAGACATCCTCAGCTTTTACACTGATGACCTGATTTCTATCCTGACACATATCACTGTCTGAATCAGGTTCATCTTTCACCGAATCCATACAGTTCTGTAAAACCACCATACACATATACAATTATTATGTTACAGAAATGTTGTTTTTATAAAACAGTTACCCTAAAACAACATGCATGAATGCATGTATGGATACACTTGTACATACACACAAACAAATTACAACCATAAATAATTCATCCTTTACTATGGGAAAAGTTGAGGGTGTGTAAACCTCATCATTTCTCACGCCAACGGATTCTTCCCTCAGAACATCCACATCATTTTCTATCTTGATTTTATCAATATTCTGCTGTACAATTATGAGTTAAACATAATTCATTCAGATGGTATGCATTAAATGCAGGTATAAATTGGATGAGAATCTACAATACCATATTCTGAAATAGAATATGGGGTGCTCTCAAGCTAATACTGAGTATATTCAGGATAAAATTGTATCTCACAAATCTTTTTCACATAAAAATTTCCAGAAAATAAGAAACTGCTGTAATGTTATGTGTGGCAAGAAAATTCATTAACCTTGTGTTGATGAAACAAGAAATTTACTGGAGTATTACTGTAGTGATGCCAAGGTACATAGCCTCTTACACAAGCATCTCACATTCCATCCCCATAGATACATAATAATAATAATAATTTATTTACATTCCATGGATCCATAAGACAGTCAGATGATGATAGGATGTGGAAAAAGTCATAATTCAATTCAATTCAATTCATTTATTTAAGTGCTTGACAACAGCCAGGTAAGGCCAATAATAGTCAAGCACTGAACAACAGCACAGGATGAAATATAATATAATATAATATAATAATTAAATTCATTTCAGTAATAATAAAAGTAAAACATTACAAATAAAAAACAAACGAACAAATTAAACTAAATATATAAATGTACAATAATAATAAT